TTTTAAAATGGCGGCCATTTAATTTTTTAAAATTGAAATTGCTAGATATGGCTAGTTTTATGAAAAATGTCTGTAACACTTTTATTTAGCTTTTAAAATAATAAAAAATAAATAAATATAAGGCAACCCTGAATAGCATAGCCTTGATCACAATAATTTTACAACGAAAAATCGTTGTAACTTCAGTTATGTTTTATTCGATCTTCTTGAGAATTCAAACGGTAGAAAGTTCACCGTGTTCCCGTATCTAGGTAGGTTTGTCTTTTTTAGGTAGGTAAGTCATATTTAGTTATATTATAGTTATATTTGTGTTAAAATGGAAAATAAAAAGTGTTACTTAACAAAATTTACAAAATTACTTATGAATAAAATTCCCAACCCCGTTTTCACACCCTCCTACCCAAGACCGACACTCAAATCAGTGTAACTTTTTTACACATATAAAGGGAGGTTTATTGAACAATTTGGTTCTTGTTAGAAACTTTTTTTATGGGTGTCCATGGGTTTCCTCCAGATAAAAAACAACTTTTTTTTTTGAATTTTAAGAAAAAATCACATTCACCCCTCAATATTACCTGAACCGTTCATAGTAGATAGGTATTGTATGGTACCATTTTGTTTGAAATTTAATGTAGATTATTTTTGTAATTCATTATATTTTAAGAAAAACGCACCGTTTTCGAGATATTTGTAAAATAGCAAAAAAAGTCCCATCCACCCCCCCTTTTCTTTTAACCCTCCTTCCCAAATCCGACACTCAAATCCGTGTAACTTTTTTATACATATTAAGGGAGGTTTATTGAACAATTTGGCACTTGTTAGAAACTTTTTTTATGGTTGTCCATGGGTTTCCTCCAGATAAAAAACAACTTTTTTTAGAATTTAAAAAAAAATCACATTTACCCTCAATATTACTTGAACCGTTCATAGTAGATAGGTATTGTATGGTACCATTTTGTTCGAAATTTAATGTAGATTATTTTTGTAATTCATTATGTTTTAAGAAAAACGCACCGTTTTTGAGGTATTTGCGGAAAAGTAAAAAAAGTCCTATTTCACCCCATTTTCACCCCCTCCCCCCCAAACCCGACACTCAAATCACTGTAACTTTTTTTTACATATTGAGGGAAGTGTACTCAACAATTTGGCACTGGTTTGAAACTTTTTTTTTGGATGTCCCGGTTTAGGTCTAATTGCACCGTACTAAGAATAAAAACGAATTTGACGTTGAACGGTTGGCAGTACGGAAAACTAGGTCCGGAGTCAAGTAGAGGTAGAATCTATTTTAGTCTTGAGTCGTCTGGTCTGCGCGGAGCCACAACAGAAGCAAACCGGTTTGTTTACATCCCTTTCATAGGTTAGGCCTGCAGGTAATTGTTGTTGTATTATTATATTGCTATTATTATTATTATTTTAGTTTAGTACTACCAAATGTAAAGAATGTTACCATAATTATTAAGCTACCGGTACCATCGAATTTCATTGTCGCAAGTCGCATTATCTTTAACACTACAGTCGGCCTACATTTTCCTGTAGTTAATAAATTGTGAAATAATTAGTGTATTTTAACGCTTAACGTAGGCCTATGTATAATTTTTCACTTAGAGCTTCCATTATACAACAAAACCGTTCCAATAAAACGCCCATAAAGCCGTTTATTTTTTTATTATATTAACTGTATTTTATTTATTTTATGAAGGGAATAATGTATAGGCCTACATATGTTTTTATTTCTCCCTGAAATATTCAGTGTTTAAGTTTTGAGTTTCCCTAGTTAGCTACTGACAACATTTAGACAGTTATTAATTTTTTTCTTTAATAAAAATAACTTTACATTAAAACTTAACCTTAAAGTTCGGCACTTGACTTGTCAGACAATTTTTTTTTAAGTGAGTGGTGTTTTAATATAGTTTGTTCGTTACATGATTATTTAAGGGTCTGGTTGATAGTTTGCAGCTATTTTACGAGTTTTATATAATTTTATTTAGGCCTATTATTTTATTTCATTTCTTATTCACTCTGTGGAATTTAACTTCAATTTACTAGGCTTAGCTTAGATTGTAAGATTTCAAGCATATTAGTCAACTCCCAATTAACCGGGGGAATTGAATGACTGGTTGAAGTGTCATGGATAACCCAAAATCACGGTGAAAGCAAAGGCATAAAGGCATTCAATAAATAAACAAAGCACGTCATACTCGTCATAGAACGATATCAGTTACCATTTATCGTTACAAATTATTACTAAACAACACGTAAGAGAATTTTATCCACTAAAAATTGCATCTCATATACGTACTATGCGACAATGAACGGCAGTGATCACTGATCATTAGCAAAAGGCATAAAACCACAGCGTGGGATGATCTATTGTTGTGACTGATCGCTTACGAGTGGTGCGAGGCGCAGGGCTGTTGCAAGGTCAATGAAGGTCATTCCACCCTCCACCCCCGCCCCCCCCGCGACGCGCCCCTGACACAGCGCACATCAATTCCTCTCTACACGCGTTAACTGAATCATCATAACATCGTCGTGACTCGTGGGAAAACAATGCTCCGATTGCAATGTACGGTATAATACATTACTTTGTTAAATATGCAATTAAAATTTAAAAAAATATAAAATTTCAAAATGTTTGTGCCTTTTAAAGACTTTTCTATTTTTTTATTTTTTTTATATTTAAATGATTAATCCGTAATTTAAAAAAAAATATTTAAAACCTTCAGCCACAAAGGTTAATCCGCAACCTGGTTAACCCGTGCCCGGTTAATCGGTAGTTGACTAATGTATATTGTATTGACAATAGTTTATAATCAGTAGGTCTATTTACCGGCAATTTACTAAGGCTTGTTATTATAGTCACAAAATTACATCTAACCGGATGTCACGTCACGTCAGATGAAATATGAATATATGTTATGGGAATTACTTTGTCTACGAGTCTACCATTCTACATGTTGGACGCGCGCGGCCGGGCGTGTGGGCTAATTAATTATTGTAATTGTTTGGTGAGCTTTGTTTGACCCAGATTTGTAAAAGATTATCACATGGATAAATTGAAGGCAATTTAAACAACAGTTTAAAGTTCATTTAAAATATTTAAAAAAACTTTAAACTGTTGTTATTTTTATGTCTGCCCACACGCATAATATACAGTATGGAGAAAATATTGTTTTCTTCAGAATATTTAGAATTTTAGTTATGGTTGGGTGTATCCGTTTTGGATCCCCCTGAACCCAAAAAGTGGTTATCAGACTGATGTCTGTCTGTCTGCCTGTTTTTGTGTCAGATAAAGAGTAAGATGTGTACCAGTGGTCCGAATTTTACGAAATTTGGAATAATTTGTAAATGTGCGGGGTACACTTTGTAATACACCCCATGTGTTTTTAATTTTTTTTATTTTCAAGGGAATTTAATCCTCCCACCCCCCTCCCACCACCAAATAAAACCTTAAAACGTGAATTTCTAAAAAAAAAACTGCTAAAATGATTTCACATAAAATTGTATAATTTATTTTGCTCAAGCTCCCAAATAAAATAACATTATGTATTTTTTCCGTGTTTGCCGTACTATACTAAGAACAAGAACTATTCAAACTCGTTTTGAGTGCCAGTATAAAAAAAGTTTTGATTTACGTGTGGGTTAAATATTTATTTTATCATTTTAGGATGACTTAAACACAATGGATGGAAAAAAGATAAGGAAAAGTGGACATGATTTCAGAGTTGATAAAAGAAACAAACTATTACAAGATTCTGCAAGAGCATGCTCAAAAATAACACAGTTCTTGCCAAAATCTTCATCTACCACTGACTCTACCATAAAAACACCCGACGAACAAGTTGTGCAACAAAGTACACAGCAATCGTCATCGCCTCTACAAATACCATCGACATCCGCTGTTTTATCTTCATCTTCATCTACTACTGACTCTACCATAAAAACACCCGACGAACAAGTTGTGCAACAAAGTACACAGCAATCGTCATCGCCTCTACAAATACCATCGACATCCGCTGTTTTATCTTCATCTTCAACTACTACTGACTCTACCATAAAAACACCCGACGAACAAGTTGTGCAACAAAGTACACAGCAATCGTCATCGCCTCTACAAATACCATCGACATCCGCTGTTTTATCTTCATCTTCATCTACTACTGACTCTACCATAAAAACACCCGACGAACAAGTTGTGCAACAAAGTACACAGCAATCGTCATCGCCTCTACAAATACCATCGACATCCGCTTTGCTTGAAGTAGATACTTCAACAGAAACATTGGACTTTTTTAAAAAGCCACTACCAAGCGATTTAACATCATTTTTAGACTTTCATCCGATTCAACCGGAAGAAAACTCTTTGGAATTTCTGGGGAAAAAACATAATAAGCCGATATTTCAATATCAAAGTAGTGACAATCCTAAACAAATTTTCAAACGAAAGTGGTTGTCATGTAATGAAAAAAACACATAAATTATATTGTTATATCTGCCTTGCATTTAGCAATTCAAATTCTCCATTTTGTACTGGTTTTAATGATTGGAGACATGTTTACCAAAGGTTACAGAAACATGAAATTTCAAACTTGCACGTCCAATCAGTTAATTCGTTTATGTTAAAAAAACATAAACGGAGTATCAGTGATGTGATTTTAGGAGATCAAATGCTTATGAGAAAACGAGAGGTTCAGGATGGAAGACATGTTGTAGAAACTGTCATAGACATATTGAAACTTATTGGAAAACAAGGCCTTCCATTTCGTGGATCAGTGGAATCTGCTCACTCATTTGATGATATTTCAGTTAATCACGGAAATTTCTTGGAAATAATCCTTATGTTGAGAAAGTACGATTCTATATTAGACAAGCACATAAGCAAAATAATTAACCAAAGTAAAGCAAATTTAGAAAAACTGTTGACGAAAACCAAAGGAAAAAAACCAGCTGACAAAAAAGTAGTTGGAAGAGGAGGTCATGTCACATTTTTAAGTAACAATATGATCGCCAAGATTTTAAAGTATATTAAAGATGAGATCAAACTTAAAATTTCTGAAGAAGTAAATCTAGCAGTGCAATATTCTATATTGATGGACACTACCATAGATGTATCTACGTTAGACCAATGTGCTTTTGTACTCCGGTATGTCAGGGACTCTGAAGTAACTGAGAGGCTGTTAGCGTTGAAGAGTGTTGTAAGTACATCTGGACAAAGTTTATTTGAAACACTAAAAACCGTCCTGGAGGAGACTAATATTCCACTTGAAAACTGTGTTGCAAACGCTTTTGACGGCGCTTCAAATATGAGCGGCCAATATAATGGCGTTACTGCCAAGCTATGTAGTGTCATTCCGAATCACATCCACACATGGTGCTATGCACATGTGTTGAATCTTGTGCTGACAGATACAGCCCAATGTATCAATAAAAGCATAAACTTTTTCAATCTTCTTCAAGAGGTACATGTTTTTATGAACGAGTCAATAAAAAGATTGCAGAAGTTTATTGAAGAAAACCCATCCTTTAAACTGGAAGCTATAGGCCAGACAAGGTGGCGGAGCCGCAGTAATGCCACTGTGAAGATATTTGGACGGATTGACGACTGGGACGGAGAAGTCAAATCAAAACCTCCAAAACTGGTGTACTTGGAGTTAGTAATCGCTCTATTTAAGATTTCAACCTCACAAGACTTTAATTCCAAAGTTAGAAGTGATTCTGATGCTCTCCTAAAAAAACTATTAAGTTTTGAGTGTATTCTTGTTGCAATGCTATTCCTACAAGTCTTTAAAGTCACCACACCTTTATCGGACTATTTACAGACCAAAGATTTAGATTTCGTCCAAGCTTGGAGATTTATTGAAAATTCTCACCGTAAATTAACAGATCTAAGAGAAAAATTCCCTGACACGGTAAAGGCCGCAAACAATTTTGTCACCAAAATGAATGAAAATCTTGAAGAACGGGAAAAAGAAGACGAATCTCTTTCGAATATCTACATTGAAACATCATTAAAAGAAACAAGAAGAAGAAAAGTAAAAAAACTACCAGGAGAGGAAGCTAATGATGAAATCGTTGGCTCATCGCCTGAAGACAAATTTCGAATTGAGATCTTTATCAGAATTGTTGACACCTTGATCCACACAATGGAAAATCGGTTTTTAGTACATAAGCAATTGTACTTAGACCTTGCATGGTTCGATCCCAAAAGATTTGACGCTAAGGAGAAGATTCCACCAAATGCCCTGGACAAAATTACTGAAATCCTTCCCGGCCTGGATAGATCTAAACTAAAAGAAGAGCTTTGTTCATTTTCTGAGTTATGGCCAAAAATATGTGAAAAAGATATTGGACCAGAGTATAGCCAATCAAAAGAAGAAGCTAAAGAAAAGGCAGAAGTAATCGACAGTGACATTGAGCAAGTGAATGACAAAGAAGAAGAAGATGAAGAAGAAGAAGGAGAAGAAGAGGTTACGTGCAAAGGCAATAAGCAATGCAAAATGTGTTTAAAATGTGCCTTTAAAGTAATTTTAGATTATAATATGTATTCTTTACAGTATCCCGAGCTCTATAAAGTGTACAAGTACCTCCTTACTATTCCTATGACACAAGTCACATGTGAGCGGACCTTTTCGAAATTAAAAATTGTTAAAACAAGACTGAGGTCATCCATCAGCAACGATAATTTAGAAACTCTACTTTTGATGCAGTCTGAACCAGAAATTTTGAATTCAGTGGACAGTGATAAAATTATTGACATGCTATGCAAATCCAGCAAGGAAATGAAGAGGCTTCTTTCATTTTAGGGATAGTAGGCCTATTACTAGCTCTCGAGAATAATATGTTATTCTAAGTTACTTTCGCACTAAGCATAAGGACTTCTTGGTACTCAATTTCTCAGCATACAATTCATATGGTTTATTAAAGTAAACATAGACAGTACATAGGTCTATCTAATGTTTATAAGCCTAATAATAGGAGATTTAAAATTATCGGCATAGAACTTGTAATGTGTTAAGAAAGCTAATCACAATTTTCACAATACTGTATCACAATACTCAATTCTTATTTATATACTCAATAAGTTCAGTATTTGGAGTTTGAGATTGAGTTGTGAATCTTATATAATTCTATTGCAGTGTAATATTCTTGATTTTTTTCTCTTATGTATTTTAATATAATTATACGTATGGGTTGTTTAAGTAAACATAGGCAATGTTTATCTTGTTTTGAAAATAATGTTAGATTTGCAGGTTTCGGATTATTACAATACTCAATTGTTATTGATACACTCAATAAGGTATTTTGAGTTTAAGTTTTAAATTATAACTAGTTCTATTATAGAGTAATCTACTTGATTTTTTGCTCTTATGTAGATGTATTATTATAATTATAAATATGGCTTATTTAAGTAAACATAGGCAATGTTTAGATAAACTGTTTATCTATTTTGTATAATAATGTTAGATTTACAAGTTAATATATGTAATATGTTAAGAAAGCTATTCACACTATTACAGTACTCAGTTGTTATTTATATACTGAATAAGGTATTTTTAGTTTAAGTTTTGAATCTTAACTAATTCTAATGATAGTGTAATCTCCTTTATTTTTTGCACATATGTAGCCATGTAGCCGTATTATTATTACTATTATTATTATTATTATTATTATTATTATACATATGGCTTATTCGGCATAATCACAATTAATTATTACAATACCCAATTGTTATTTATATACTAAATGAGGTATTTTGAGTTAAGTTTTGAATCTTAACTAATTCTATGATAGTGTGATCTACTTGAATATTTTTTCTCATGTAGCCGTATTACATGTATGTTTAATAAACTTTAAGCAAATTAAATGTTTTTAACACAATACTAATGACTGCAATATTTTTAAACCCTGAAAAAATTATGGTAATTTTATTTTTTCTCATGTAGCCGTATTACATGTATGTTTAATAAACTTTAAGCAAATTAAATGTTTTTAACACAATACTAATGACTGCAATATTTTTAAACCCTGAAAAAATTATGGTAATTTTCTGGCTGAAATAATATTTTTTTAAATAAATAGTTTATAAATATAAATATAATTTCTTGTCAAAATAGCATAAAAGAGGTTAAAAACTACTAATTTTAGACCTAAAATTTCAGGGGGGTATTCCATACCCCCCGTACCCCCCGGTTTTTGGTTGACGCCCTCATGACACTTTGTCCAGCGCCCTCTTGAGGGTCCCAGCACGGCCCTGTACTCATGGTGAATAGTGATCATTTGTTCAGTAATTCTCTCCCCGTTCATTTTTAACTTCTGTGTTCATCTTACATTTATTCATCTAATTAATATTATAAGCAATGGTCTTTGTTCACACTACATACGAGTATAAATAAGATGTCTACAGCTAATAGTGATAATTAGAAAATACTTATAGTCAAGTAATATCCTGTATACAAACGTTAAATGTTACAAAATACGTAAAACAAGTTATTACCCACGCTAATATGGTTGGTTCAGAATGTCTCACTATCATTGTCCATTTCTTCTAACGAAAAATGTTATAACGTAAATCGATATGTTATGGTAAAACAATTTTGAACACTAATAAACATTTCTAATATGAGTATCTAATTTCAATATATAATATTGAAAATTATCCGGAAAGTAAAGTATATATATATATATATATATATATATATATATTTAATGTTTACTAATATGAGACATAATTCTTAGGAGACCTCATAATTCCATCCCTCTACACATTTACCCTCTCTACCACAATGTCGTCATATCTCGAACCAGATTCCACATATAACAGTAATTTTGTCAACTTAAACTTCCCAATAATTTATTGTTTTGACTATTGTCTAGCGCGCGCTCTCGTGTTATATGCGGGACCTCCTAACTCATCTGGTGGTAATACAGGTTCCACTGGTGGTTCCCAATCAACATCACGGTGATCATCTGGGGGTTCGTCCATGCTGTCATCCGATTCGAATTCGACCGGTTCAATTTCATGGACAACGTCGTCAATGAAGTTGTCCTCTACTACAATCGGTCCGTCAACCCAATTTAACTCGCCGGGTACGACGCCATCTGCCTCTGGCGCGTCATCCTCCCGTGACGTCGTCGCTTATCTCAGATGGAACGGCTGTGGCCTGTACCACCTCGTTATCAGCCACGGCGCGTGCCTTATCAGTCAGCTAAGTGTTCCGACACTTCTTTAACCTATTAACATGTAGATTTACCGTCCGTCCATTTATGTCTATTTTGTAAACTAATTCACTTAACTGTCCAACCACCTCGTGAGGTCCTGACCAATAGCGTTTGAACTTAGACTGTGGACCCTTTTTGATGTCGGGATGATAAACATAAACGAAGTCACCTACAGTAAACGTTATCAACCGAGTATTTTTATCATAGTGCTCTTTGTTTCTTACCCGCGCCTCTTCAGTATATTTTGCAGCTAGCTCAGTAGCCCCCCGAGTTTTATCAGCTAATTCCTCCACTGGAGTTCCCTTGTCACCTGAGAAATCATAGTCGTCGTCAGCTGGTAGTCGCATCACGACCAAACATAAGATAAAATGGCGTGTTCCTTGTCACCGGATGTTTGGCATTCCTCAGTGCCATGAGTACGTAAGGAATAAATGTGTCCCAGTTTCTAATATCTTTATTTACATAATGAGACACCATGGCAGCTATGGTTTGATGCTGACGCTCACATAACCCGTTACTCATCGGATGCATCACGGTAGTCTGTAATTTAGAGATTTTCAATAACTTATATACCTCTTCAAACAATTTTGAAAGAAAATTAGATCCACAATCAGTTAATAGGTACTTTGGAACCCCTAAATGAGCAATTATATTCGTGACAAACGTTTTTGCTACAGTTTCTGCAGTTTGATCCGGAATAGCCATGGCCTCTACCCAACTGGTTGCAGAATCAATGAAAGATAAAACATACAGATTTCCTGATTTTGACACAACAAGCGGACCAACAATGTCCATACTAATTGCATTGGTACTTTAACAGTATCAAAAATACCCATGGGTGCGGTATAACGCCTGCCAGGTTTCCGTAAGTTACATGAATGACACTGACTAACATATTCTGTGGCGTCCTTGTTTATAGTTGGCCAATAATATCGAGCTTTGACTGTATCTAGGGTGCGTTTGATACCTTGGTGACCACTAAACACACAATCATGGTGTGTCTCTAATACTTTTGCTATCATTCCCTTCGGTACAACAATTTGGTTTCCGGTATCGGACTTTTGATACAATAACCCGTCCAGGTCATGGATAAAGTTGTTCTCTTCCCCAGTTTTAATTTGCTTTAAGACCTCCCTGCAAAACATATCCGTCCCATGTACCTGCAGGGCAGCATCTCGTGACCATATAGGTCTACAGATAGTTCTGATTCGTGATAGCGCATCAGCTGCCTAATTAAGGTTACCCTGCCTGTGCTCAATTTCGAAATCAAACTCGGATAGTTTCAAAGCCCATCAAGAAAGCCTACTGTTCGGGCCTTTAACGAAAATATCCATTTTATTGTGGCACAATCGGTTCTAAAGGTGAAATTGTTACCGTAAAGATAACATCGCCACACCTTAGTTAGTATTACCACGGCAAGCAATTCCCTTTCAGTTGCGCCATAATTTTGTTCAGATTATGAAATAGATTTCGAATATTATGCCACTGGTCTCTCTCCATCCTCATATTGTTGACTCAATATGCTGCCAATATGCCGCCAATACAATACAAACTTGCATCACTTGTTACGAGAAATGGTTTATCAAATTGTGGAAACGCTAAAACTGGTGGTGTGGTGAGTGCCTGCTTTAAGGCCTGGAAAGCCTCTTGCTGCTGATCACCCCACTCAAACTTTTTATCTTTACGCGTCACGTCACTAATAAAAATACGGTTCCCGAGATTACAAGACAACGCACAGCGATAACAACCCAAGCCCACTATAGACCAGATAACTAGAGTCGGGACCACATAAGTTTGCAGTTGAGGGAGGAGCCTATTTACCATATGGTTTTGAATGAACCAATGAGAACCGTGCGGTGTTGCCAAATCTAATGATACCAGCTGATTTGAAAATATTGCTTAGTATATTTCATTAGTGCGATGTGGCAACGTTGCACTAGCCTTGTCTTGTGATTGGCTGCCACCAACTGCAAACTTACGTGGTCCCGACTCTGACTAGAAGTAGAAGACCCAGCGATCTAGCAGGAGTAGTTTTGGTGTGTTGCGTGTTGCCTAGGGGTGGATTGAAGGGGTTGATTTAGGGGTGGTTTTTGTGTAAAGGGTGGTTTAAGGGGTGGATTTTGGATTAGGGGTGGTTTTTTGTGTAAGGGGTGGTTTAAGGGGTGGATTTAGTGTTAGGGGTGGGTGTTGGAGTTGGGGGTGGGTGTTGGAGTTGGGGGTGGGTTTTAGGTGGAGTTGTTGTTTTTGGAGGGGTTGAAGACTGTGTACTCTTAAGTTAATATATATTTAATAATTATAATATTTAATTCTTTCTTTGGTGTTCCTCTATGATTTATGAATTATCTTGGTATTGATTGGTTGAAAATAAGCTCGTCACTGATTGGTTATAAATAAGTGACTGTGGTATTGAAATTAACGGACCAAAATATTTGAATCAGGTGTTCTCTGATTGGTTGAAAATAAGCTTGTCCCTGATTGGTTATAAATCTCTACCTATAGGCTAGGGAATGGTAGATTAATTGAATAGTCAATATTTATTAATATATCTTATATTTTAATAGATCTATTTTGATAAACATAAAATTGTGATTTATGGAATAAAATTATAAATATGAAGCATAAATCTAAAAAATGTAAAATTGTGATTAAAGGAATAAAATTATAAATAAATATGAAACAAAATGACAAGTAGTATGTGAAAAGATACGATAATACAATTTGACTGAAAGTTTACCCTATGTTTTAATATTTAATTTAACCATCATAAAAGAGTCTTTTCCTGCCTGTTACTGTCTTTCGACAGAACGGGCAAACGTATAATCTAATAGCACATGCCGGACAAAGGGTATGGTGACAAGGCTGAAGAACTATCGTCGGTAGAGCATCCTGACAGATCTGGCAAGTGATGGTCCGTTGAGGTTCGGTATGGGTTTCTTGACCTCGAATAATGTTGTCGTCCATCTGTTGTCCTGTCATCACGAGGGGGTCCAAGGGAAGATTATTAAGAATGGGGAGTGTTTCCAAGTGTTTTAGATTTCGATCCTTTTTTAACTTACGAAACTCACACTCCCACATCTCAACTACTTCATAGTCATTAAACTTGGCAATTTTAGATTTGGACTTGGCAATTTTAGATTTGGTCCTCTCATATCTCAAGTGAAGCGAGTCAGAGGGATCCTCCTTCAGAGGAGCATCTCTGTTATAAGGAAAACATTTAGAGCAACCATGCCAATAGCACCCGTGAAACTCATAGATCCTTTGTCCATCAAATCCATCAACTTTCAAACCAAAAATACTAATCTCCTTTCCACGCCCCGCATGTTCTATCCTCACTTTACGGATTTCCTCCTCAAAACTTAGCCATTGGATGGCTATAGATGACTGATTATTCACAAAACGATAGCCATTCTTAGGAATAAGTCCAATCGTGTTTGGTTTCAAGAAGTTTCTACGGAAGGCCAAGTTACATGCACTAGCAATAGTTACAGCTTCCAAGAAAGGATCAACATTACACTCTTGGAGGAATATTGTCCTGAACTTAAGACACGCTTGTGCTAGAATTTCCACATCTGAGATGCAGTATTCTAGGATCTCCTTTTTAAAGTCAAAATCATAATTCTCAGCCACTCGTTCATCATACCACTTTTCAAAATCCCTGTAGGACTTTTCAAACATAGTCTCTGGACAATAGTACTGTTTGTCAGGCATGGGGCCTACGTAGTTTTGATTGGCAAGAGTGTTAAATAAATGGGGGAAGTAGCCTTTCTTTCTTTCAGGTGGCAGATCAAAAGCCTTAGGGAGTGCAGCGAGGGCCATGGGGAAGTAACTTAGCGAGTCCACAAACGTCACGTTGTCCATTTCCATCAAAATAATTTTTGTACCCCTCATGACCAGTTCAGGGGTGAATTTTGTTCGTTCAAGCATATACTTAAGCAAAAACTGAAAATCAAAACCCTGACCATTTTGGGCGATTACACAGACATGTTTAAACTGTTTACGGGTTTCCATTGCATAGTTCATAAATTGGGTAACCGGGTTAGAGTTGAAGACTCTCGTACAGTTTTTACAGGCAATACAAAATTTAGCCTCAATACATTGGGAACAATACTGTTGTAAAACACAGAAGTTAACTTTATGTTCTTTCTGGTCAGGATCAGTGGAGAGTGGCTCATCTTGACGGGTTTCCAAATCAAAAAATATATACAGATAACCTTTAGATGTAGGTTTACCCTCGTTGGGTTTCATGTAACATTTATGGTTTGGATCCTGAAAAGATTCACAAGGTTTACAATAAACCTCACCACTTTTATGAGGTGTAGGTCTTCCCTTAATCATAACCAACTTATCACAATCAAGACACTTTTTCACTTTTTTACATTTATCAATTTTGTGGGCTATGAAACACCGTTGATTTCTTAAAATAATATTACATTCTGGACAAGTTACTCCCCCATGTTCTAACTTACAGGGAGGTGAAATGGTCTGACAGTAGCAGCAAATGCTGGAACATCTATGTTCAGTTTTATGATCATAAGGGACATGGCAGCCTTCACAATAATAGTTACAAACAAAGGCAGCAGTTAGACTGGTAATGACATTAAAATGACCGTTACAGAAAATCAAGTTAATTTTTGATTTAGCATTCTCTGGACGACCCTCAAAATACTCATCAAAAATCAAATCCAAATACTCAAAATAAAATCACTCCCTTTCCTATCATAATTATAAACAGTGATTTTATAATCAGTCAATAGATCTTGAAACTTTTCTAGTTCAGGGATTCCAGCACCATTCTCAGGCATTTCTACCCTAGCCCTCCGGATGAGCTCCTGCGCCATCACTGTCTGTCTTTTCCTATCA